AAATGGCCGCTCTAGATAAATTTTCGTATCAATAGATTGCACTCACAAAGATTCGGGAGTAATTGAAGAACGATGACATTATCGATAATTGATATAAATTTGCGACAATAACATTGACATAAATATTTAGATAATACATTATTAAATTCATAATTTTTTTATTATATGAGTTTTACTCAAATAAGTATGAGTAGATACTTGTAATGCTATAATACCTATAATATATTGCTGCAAAATTACAATTCTTCTCTTGACTGCAGTTATCATCTCCATTGATAATCAAACTCGGACGATAACATTAAAAATATATTTTTAAATAAAAATTGAGTATCATTGAGTTTTAAAAATGTATACGTATTTACAAAATAAATAAATTATAATATTATAATATTAATGTTATATTATTAATTTTTATTCTTAATCACTTAAATTTTAAAAGTTACCCAAACTTTCGTAAGATTGATCATCTTTAATAGTATTTCGTCGCGTCGATATCCCTACATTAGCGAGTCTTTGCATATATGAACATAGGCCTGTTCTTTTTGGCTGAACTTTTGCACTAGTTTATCTATTTTCCTTTTCCTCTTTTCCTGGAAAGAAAGTTTAGTAAAAAAGGACAGACCTATTATATAGGAGAGAATGGTCTATTCTATATCGGACCTGTATGCAGTTTTTGTTCTCTATAAGGCGTAAATAAAGTCCGATCGTAAAACCAATAGTGCCATTCGAAAGATCATTTAATTTCCTTCATTTTTGCTTTAAACCATTTTGACTTATCTCTTACCTGTGTCGAATTATAATGGAAAATATAAAAATGCATTTTCCGGTCCGATTTGAAACTATGAGTTCCAATCTTTCCTATTTTTATAGACTTTTAGATAGAATTTTTAATTAAAAATATTTTAATTAATTTTTGTTAATATTGAGTAAAAATGAGTAATTTAAGACTCAAAGATAAAAATTATTAGAATTAAATTCAATAAAAAATTCCATCAATCTGAGTCTGATGACACATCGACACATGATATTTTATTGATTTATAGTGTTTCTTTTAGACCAGATCTAGTCGGTCGATCATCAGTACTATATCATAACCAGGTTGTGGTAAAACCTTCTTTCTTCAATGAATTAGCTGGCTTACTCGTCTTTTTAGTGTTTTTTGTGTATTTAAGTCCGATTTGGACACCCAAAGAGAGGTTCGATTTGAACACGGGTTTTTTCGAACGATTGAAACAAATTTTACAAATCGCAAAAGTAATCACAAAATTCTTGATATTTTTGAATTTTGCACTCTTTAATTATCTTAAATCGCAATTACTGTTCGAATTTTTAACATCTTTTAAATAATGATTTACAAGGATTTTCTTTTTTAAAAATATTTTCGCATGATAGCCGAAAATACATATTTGCGTCTATTCTATGAACATTATGACAGAGTACTGCCAAACTGCTGTCACATGTTAGATGTCTTATAAGGACTTTACATTATAAATAGCAGGGATGGGAAGTAACTCGTTACTTGTAACGAAGTTACAGTTAGAGTTATTTTTTTTTAGTAACTGTAACTTAACTTCGTTACTTTTTTCCATCTGTAACTATAACTTAATTTAGTTAGATTTTTTTAATAACTAGTAACTAATTTAATAGTTACTTTTATAGTTACTTTATATATATTCAAGAACTGTATCGTTTTTTGAAGTCCAATAGTTCCAACATTAACATGTTAAATGATTATCACAGAATAAAAAAATTCTTCATTAAATATAACACGGCACTCCCAAGTAGTGCTTCTGTCGAACGAATGTTCAGCATTGGTGGTTCCGCAGTAACGCCACAGAGGGAATTAATTTACACGATGGTACAATCGAATACCAAATTCTGTTAAAAATTAATAAGAATTTTTATTAATATTTTGGATTAATGCTAGAATTTGGAATCTAGAATTTATTTGCAACTTTTAGCTGAATATAAAAAGAATATTGTTTGCAAGAAAACATTGTATATATGCTATTTCATATTCATTTATATTACTTTAACGAAAAACCTTTTTGCCATACAATTTTCTTCTTCAATACAATTTTTATAACATATAAATGTAAACGAGTCTTTTTTTTAATTGTCCTAATTACTCTGATGACCCTGTGTATCATTCTTGTTTAATATTAGGTGAAAAACAGGAGTAAAACGATACACGAAGGCAGTTGGGTAACGTTTCTGAATGCAGTCCTAGTATTGATGCTACTAGTGAAAATTCTGATGAAAAAGTAACTTAAAAGTAACTTAAAGTTATTTCTTCAGTAACTGTAACTGTAACGAATTACTTTTCAGAGTCAATAATTTGTAACGGTAATTAATTACTTTTTGAAAGAAAAAACTGTAACTGTAATTAATTACTTTTACAAAGTAACTTTCCCTGATAAATAGCATGCACACACACACACACACAAATCTGCTTAACCGTATTTATTTAAATTAAAAAGGTTCGATTTGGTACACGGTCTGATTTAGGACATTCTCCCCTATATACGTATATAACCATGCTACAAATATTTTTAGGTATATCTATGGATAACACGCGCGCTATGTTGGTATTTTGGTTCTGTTCCGTATTACGTCTACAATTTTTTTTATTCTGTTCCGTACTATGTCTACAAAGTGTCGATACGCCTGTAAGGCTGAAATCAGACTATGCATTGAAGATTGAGATTGAAGATTGAAAGATAAATTTAACCAATCAAAATAATAATAGGAGCTAAACTCTTTTATTTTTATTGGTCAAATTTCAATTTTCAATCTTCAATCTCAATCTTCAATATGCGTAGTCTGATTTTACAGTTATATTCATGCAGTAATGATGACAATAATAATATAAAAAAAATGCATGTATATCCTGAGAAAATTCCGTAAAAAATTAATTTATTGTAATATAAAGGGATATAAAAATAAGCATAGCGCTAGTTAGTACAATAATATTTTATTCTTTCTACAGAAGTTTACATGTATAATAGACTAATGACATTTTATTGTAGGAGGAATGTCGATCTTTTTGTAGGTACGGAGCATTTAAATGGACCATCATGTATATAATTCACATAAATATTACGATTATATTAATTTGTATACGTTAAACGTGCGAATCTTCAACCTACTTATTGACAGTTCAATTGCAATCAATTGTTATCTATTTTCATAAATTTCCCAATAAAAAGAGTTTGGAATTTATTAACATTTTATTTTGGGTATTATAATCTTAAATTTCAGTTTATAATGTGATTTATATATATATATTGTAACTAATTTTATAATTATTGGCCCATAGTTTACGTAGAATGTTATTTACACATAAATATACATGCACGTCGTTGGGTGAGAATTAGATTTATATAGTTGTATTAAGTTTACTCTCAAAATTTTGCGATTATCAAGGATATTTTTGTCTAATATTGTTATCACGCTTTGAAATAAATATTATTAACCCAATTTGACTTTAGGATTAACTTTAGGATTGACAAAGTCTCCATCATTGAGTAATTAATAATATGTATAATAATCAATCATAAATCATTTAGTCATAAGCCTTCTTTTAAATTAAGAATTAAATTTATGTAATATACACATATGTTATATTATGATTCCAACAGCGATGTTTTTCATGTACTTCGACATTTAATTCATTTTATAATTTTTGGGACTATTATAATTATTTTTCAGTAAAAAATGAAATTAACTCTTCCAGTGTTAAATTGAATGTAGATATCTTAAAATATTTTTTGTTAAATTTTATTTTTAGTTTAATTTCAAAATAAAGATAAATATCTATTTTATTAATTTAAATATGTGTGCATTTATATAGTTCTTTAATTATTTAATTCATTATATATTGTATGATGTAAATTGTTTTTTTAAATATAATATGTATTCATTATTATTTTAAACTGATACATAAAAAAGAAATAAGATGTAAGATGGTTTCTTGAAATTATTAAATACAATATACAGTTTATTGATTATAAGGTACTGGAAGGATTTTAAGAAACAAGAGAAAATGATAGAATTCTCAATCTATCATCTTACTTTTAACACGAAAACGTGACATTGTTTAATATAATTTAATTCATTTCGCATAGTTGAATAAAAAATTCATTTACATATACAGTGAATTATAAAATATCGTAGTCAAAAAAGTAATAGAGAAAATTAAGTTATCAATAAAATATTGATATTTGGGAAGAGTTTGAATTTGGGGAATATGTAACCATTCTATTTATTAACGTCGGAAGAATAATATATTCGAAGAAGTTTTTAAAAAAGTATATATATTAATTAGAAATATATCAATGATTCGCGCGAGTGCGCGCGCGCGTTCTTCAGCATTTACATTTACACATCTATAAATATCGCTATATAAACTGAGGTACATGGTAACCTTGAAGTAAATGTGGATTGTGTGGAAAAAGAAAAATAGAATTTAAACTTATACAATTTTATAAGACGCATTCGGAACTAAGATGTATATGTATACACAAATAAATAATATTCGAAATTAATGTACAATCTATCATCTTTAATGCGCTAATTAAAAGAAGTGAAAGTCGGGACAAAGAGACGATCCGGAATGCAACATTAGATATAATATGAAATCGTATTGATACCTTCTTTGTGGTTTCAATTTTGATTTGCCACTTTTGAACCATACAATATGATGGAATTACAATCAATGTCATATTCTATAGTTTAGAAACGGGATGTTTAGATGTATCCCGTATATACATATATATCACATACCTCTACTTTCAGGATACAGAATAACATTACTTGTCTTAACTTTTTCGCCGTATTGTGTTCTCATGATGCAGCCTGAAATAGTGAATTTGAAAATGACTCGTGGCTGCAGTAATTGTCATGATTCTTATTAAACTTTTAGCTCTGATAATCACCGAGCGCTACCAATTATCGAATCATAGACCATAGTGCCGTTCGTTACTGCAGCAAAAGTCGCGTCAATCCTTGGAAGATGGGGGTGATTCTCTTCTGTTGTCACTAGAAAAGCTAGACAAACCGAGACCGCCGATTTCGTGACTGGACGAGCCCGTCGGAGAATTGCTGCTACTCCTAGCACCACTCAGAGGCGTCACATTCGTGCTATCTGCCGGTATTAGACCTTCCTTCATACGCTTCTTTTGCTTCATTCGTCTGTTCTGAAACCAGATCTTCACCTGCGTCTCGTTAAGCTGCAGCGTGGAAGCGATCTCGATACGCCTCGCTCGCGTCAGGTACTTGTTGAAGTGAAATTCTTTCTCCAATTCGGTGAGCTGCTTATTCGTGAAGTTCGTACGGCCTGTATTGTTGAAGCTACCAGCGATACCAGCCAACGAACCGGCGATGCAGCTCACTGTTCCGCTGGCGGTGCTTCCGTACACGGATGAGCTTGATCCTGCGGCTGCACCGCCACCGAACTCGATTACGTTAGGATTTGCTTTCGTCGCTGAAACAAATTTGTTGTTTTTGCTATAAATATAATATCTATGCAGAATAATTATATTATATATTATATATATATGTATATGTATATATATACACATACAGGGGTGGGCAGTATTTGAAATAAAATCTATTTAAATACGTATTTAAATACATTTTTGTATTTTGTATTTTAAATTTGTTGTAAATACTAAATACATCACAGATTCTCGGTGGTGCCCGAAAATCCGGGATCAAAAGCTAGAAAGTAACGGAAGCGTTCTGATATTCACTGCCAATGCTGAAACTATACAGTATACATTACGTGCGCTATAGATTATAGCACTGGCAGTGAAATTAGAACGCATCTAAGAAGAGAGTCGCCACGTGATCCAAATCTTTTGATTGGCTCGGAGTGCATGGACTCGAAAAGATTAGAGTGACAGGAAGATATATATATATATATATATATGTATATATATAAAAGCCGTAGCTTGTATCACTGTTATACCGGTTGTAGACCGGCACCAACGCGATGTTCGTAGCGAGCGACACGCGATATCCAAGCATATAGGTTTAGAATGAAAACATCGGTAAAACTGTACGCTCATTTTTCATTAAATAAAAGGTTTTAAAAGATATTTTGTATATAAATATGATTTTAATGTATTTTTTCCACCCCTGCATTAAATAAGTTTAAATCAAATTGGAAAAAAGTGTTTTGTATTTAAAAAAGAATAAAAAAACTATGTATTTAAATACATTTTTTTGAGTATTTTGTATTTTGCATTTAAATACAATTTTTTTAATATTTTGCCCATCTCTGTATGTGTGTGTGTGTGTGTGTGTGTGTGTGTGTGTGTGTGTGTGTGTGTGTGTGTGTGTAAAATATATATAGGGCTGAGCAAAATACATCATTAAAGTATATATATATGTATATGATGATATTTGAAATACAAAATATAAAATGCAAAATACTTTCACTCTTTCGATTTTTAAATATAAAATATATCCACATTTTTATTTTGAATAAAAAATACTTTTTTTTAAGTATTTAGAAATACTTCCAAAATTTGTATTTTATATTTTATCTGTTTTATTAAAACAGAAGTAATTTAGCACAAAAATAAACATCGTGTGCCGCAGGTTTTATATACAGTATTAGTAGCAGGATTTCTCTAATGTTTTATCGATGATTATCAGTTAATTAGCGACAGCGTCGACAGCCAGTAACAAGTTCTGAATAAAGCGCGACTTTCATCGGGTAGTTAACGATATCGTGGATATCGACAATCTCATCAATAAGATGTTTAGAGAATCTCGCTATAGAACAAGAAGAGACAGAAAGAGACAAGTCAAGCCCAGAGCCAAAACAAGAGATGACTTGCAACTAGTGATGCAAAGCCTGATAATGCAAATTGCTTCAGCTGCCTGCAATAGCCAAGGTTATTACACCTATATTGGTTGAAATCATATTATTTCCATCGTTATTGCTATTCCCTCGCATTGTGTCTAGAGCTTCACTCTCTTGCACTCTTTAAAAATTCTGTTGTTTTATACTATCAGCCGTACGAGAACCTCACGAGAAACTTACTTTCTTGTGCGAGATCATGAGATTTGGTAATATACTGATGACTTAACACTGTTTAAGAGTTGACGAAAATATAATCAGTATCGCCAATTGTCATATAAGAAAAACTATAAGTTACTATTATTCTTGTCAAAGGTTATTATTACAAATTTTTTGATATTTCAAATACAAAATACATTGAAAATGTATTTGAAATTCAAAATACATAGAATAACCTTCTTGAAATATGTTACAAAATATATTTCGCAATGTATTTGAAATGTGCCCAGCCCTGCATATATAGATGTCATTAAGTTAGTCTTAGCTGACCTATTCTTTAGTTAATTAATAATAAATTTTTCCTTAGCGGGAAAAATGATATAGAATTACATATATGTATATTTTTATGGAATAAGTTTCAGTAATTGTAATAGATAATATTTTTTCTGTTTTTATTTATAACTTTAATTGTATTCTGTTGTAGTACAATTTAGAATGTAGTTGTTAAAATTTAAAATATTTAAAAAAGATTTTCGTTAACTAAATATTCACTGTCAGTAAAAACTCATTTGAAATACGTTTGCAAATTTTTGTTCACAAACATATAAAGTGCAGAATTTTTAATAATTTATAATTGTCAAATATGACAAACGTAAACGATTGTTATATTTCTAATTCGGATATTTCCAATTTGGTAGTCCTTTACGTATAATAGAAAACGTAACAGACACGAACGTAATATGTGTCGAATCAAGATCAAGTCAAATCCTTTAAGTGACAGTCGTTTGCTGGCCATAACAGCTGGTCACTATCCGGAGAGCAATTTTAGGGAGATGACCTGTACAAAGCTGAAAGAACGGTAGGGTTGAGCCCTAAATCTGGATCAAATTGCATCAGCTGTAGAGCAAACATCCGTTACGTCGTTACGTAAAATTTTTGATTTTTCTGCTTAGTCGTATTCAGATATTATGATTTCTTAATATTCGGTATTATCTTATGATGTGTAGATAAATTTTTACTTCAAAAGATAATGCAATTAAAATATTGAAGGGCAGAAGTGACAGGCTTCGACAGAAGGATGAGGATACATTATGAAAATTAGATTGTTATTTAGACTACGGTATGTAGCAGTCAATTTACTTAATAGCAGGGGACAAAACTGTCAGCCACCGCCTTAAAGTCGCGTCTTCTCTATTATGTACATTTTCCTTCAATGTCTCCTGCAACTTGGCCCTCTTCGACATTTTTATAATACATTTTTTGTTTGGTCTTAGGAAGTTGTAGTAGCCTGACGTTCTTTATGCGTTCGTAAAAATCACTTTATGTGTATCGTATCAAATTTGGTACATACCAAATATTTATATTTATAAAATAACTTTTGCGAATTTTCTAATATATCCGAAAAAAGATCCGTCACTTATATACCGAGACCCTGAATTTAGCTTGTGGCCATTAAGCTTACGGTTTTCCAAGCCGAATAATAAACTTGGACAAGTTCTATTAGACGTGCCACTGCCAGATACAATGAAATGTTTCTCGTTTCTGCGACTCATTCATCAATTTAGCACTTTAACGGAGGACCGACTACGGTGCCGTTGATTTTCTGTACGAATTTCCTTTGGCAACAACGAAGACGTTGTATCCATACAACGTAGAAGATAAGAAACTTTGAATTTCCGTAGATTAATATATATGTATGCAGGAAAACAGATACTTTTTTATAAATAAAGGAGCTTTATATCTCTTTTTGAGAAATAAATAAAAAAAGGATTTGTTGTAGATTTATCATTTCAAAATAAAAAACATGATAGAATTGAATCTTATTGTTATTGTTACCACAGAGTATTATCGACAAGTTACGCTCGTGTATGTTACGCAGAAATTATATCACGAGCACGCATCAAATATTCTTACGTCAGCGGTCTTACTTTAAGCTCAACGTTATACTGTACATAGAAATTAGTAGTCTTTAATGTCAGGAATCGTTTGCTGTGTAAATAGGGGGGGGGGAGAGAGAGAGAGAGAGAGAGAGATTGACATTTTTAATTATCTTCTATAAAATTTTCGTAGAGTCACATTTTATAACACGATTATATTATACAATTATAGTATCATTTGATAGATTTTTCAAATAAAAGAATTTTTATTATATAAAACATTATTTAATATTAGATATAATCTAAACATCTACAATCTATAGAAATGTAACGAAATGAAATTTTATGGTTATGAATACGAAGTGTTTTTTTTTTTTTCGACAAGTCGTAGTAACATCGTCGTCCTTTAAACTGCAGATGACTAAATTATCACAAGACGATGCGCGTATTTATTTAGGAGCTCGGGTGGTTGGCGTTGATGCGGATAATCCAAACATTATATATAAATCAAATACAGCTGGATCCTGAATACGGTGCATCAATGTGTCAGTAAAAAAAAAATCATTACGAGTTACAACTAAAAATAACTTATAGATAATTATTTTCATTTTACAGTTATTTTCTTTTCACAATGTGCGTCTATCTTGTTAGAGTCAGAAAATTCTGTGAATTATAGTAGGAGAAGCATCAGTGCCCGTATCTAGAGCTCTGTCCTTTCTGTAATATAATACATAAGCATCTTGTATTCTGTTATGTTTACTATCACCTTTCCTTACGTCATACTATCCCTATAGCTTTTAGCCTTTGAATAATATTTGAATTGCGTAATGTTCCTTTAAGGGGGAGACTATCGACGTATAAAAGCACGCATAAGTGCAGATGATTCCATGCGATCGAAAGATTAACTTCATAAGTAGTTGTGACTTTTTTGAAAATGCAAATCTAAAAATTCATGTATCAATTCGTGTACAATATATTTATGTAAAAATAATGCGATTAGCCAAAATTGTATTTTAATCTACGATTACACGTGTCAAGAATTTCTCAAAAAATTCAAACAAAATTTTCCGAGCTGCCTGCGATCTGCCCAAAATTTTTCCTAGAGATAATATATTTAGCCGCAAGTTTATCGCAAGAATTGACAAAACGATTTCGTCGACATAGTTCCTTATATTCGCAACCCCCCGTCAGTTATGCCCCGACGGTCGCGTTGATTTCAACATTATGATAGGTAATATCCTGAGTCACAGTCGCGTACGAAAAGGCAATGTTGTGTACCATAATATGGCGTACATGTGGAAGGGCTGCGTGCAGCACATTCGACATTCACACTCCGGGTTCCCCTGCGTTTTACGTTCGTGTGTGTTTGTGCGTTCATGAGTATGCCCGAAGCACTTCCCGGTGAAATTAGGCTCAGCACGACACCTCGTGAGAGTCGTTGATAAGTTTCGCGCGCTTTCTTCGCAATAACTCGCCCCCAACTGGCACAGGTATTGTCGATTAGGATATAAAGCAGCTTTTTCGTGAAATTCTTCATTTTTAAATCACGAGATGTCTCAATTTAATAAATTTCAAAAT